TGTCTGCCACGTATTTTACAATTGTTGTTAAGTTAGACAGAATTTGTAACAGTATATTTCAATTTACAAATCACATGAAAATTTTGTGATCATTTTCAAACGTCAATAAATAAATTGCGCATGATCCAAACTATAAGAGGTAAAGTGGAATTTACCTTTTTTTTATTACAACTACTAAAATTTTGTCGTTTTTCCCCGACTTCAATACCTAGCAAACTTAAGTAGTTGAGGGATTACAAAGTGGGCAGATTGAACTAGTAATGATTTCATGATAGAGTGCCTATTCGATAGAGCTTATTTTCAGCTTAAATCCACTTATAGCTTAAAATAAGTTACTTTGGAGTGTTTGATATATCTTTTCAGAGATGGATTATAGCTTATTTTAAATGATTTTCAGCTTAAATCTCTAAGCTAGCTGAGAGGTGCTTACAGAAACAACTTAAGCGGGCAGCTGAGTTTTGAGGAGTGTAATGACTTAAATGCCCCTTTTATGCTTCAAATATTACCAAAAAACCAAATATAAATGCACAACCAAACACTGTTCACTTCCTCAGAGAGAGCGTGAGAGGCGATTTCCGGCGTGATAGGCAATTTACGGCGTGAACCAGAGCTCTCTCTCTCTCTCTATATATATATATATATCTCGCGATCTAAAACCACATCACGATTGGAAATGGTGACGATGATGATAACGATCAACGACATGACGATCTGACTCTCTCTCTCTCTCTCTCACTCTCTCTCTTCGTGATTGCAGCAACAAAACGAGCTTGAGCTTTCTCTCTCTCTCTATCTCTTTCTTCGTGATTGCAGCTAGGGTTTTGTAGGGGGCTTCTGGCGGAGGGATGAAGAGGAGGAGGAGAATAAGGGGGCTGCCGGCTAGGGTTTCTTGCAGACCACCGGCAGTGGCTATGGTTTTGCATAATTCTAATGAAAAAAAATGATGAAAAAAAAAACACAATTTACTTCAATTAACTGCCATTCAACTTTAAAAAAAAAATTATTTCAGTTAATATTGATATAAATTGAAATAAATTATGCAATTTATATCCATTAAATAAATTGCATAATTTATTTCACAATTAATATTGATATAAATTGCAAAATTGCACAATTTAAATAAAGAAATAAATTGCACAATTTATTTCAATTAATATTGATATAGATTTATTTCAATCAAATAACTTCTATTAAAAGAATTTTAAATTGATATTAAATTCTTTGGTATTGTAATAAATAAATAAATAACAATTGTTGCTAAATGATATTAATTGAAAAAAAAATGAAATAACAATTGTTGTAATGAAATGTATCAATTTTTGTATTAATTTATACTAATTATATTAACTTTCATTAACGAAATAATTTTTTTTTTAAATTAAAACTGAAGAAATGAAAAAAGAACAATTTTTATATCTTATAAAGGCAAAAAAGACATTACACAGCAAAAAGCTATTTTTCAGCTTATGCAACCAAACATTATTCTGTTGATTAAATCAATAATCCCACAGTTGCACCAAATAGGCTAACAACTTATATTTAAAGTTATAATCTATAATCTGTTAAGCCATAATCTATAATCACTTTTTCACAGTTACACCAAGCAGGACCAGAAACATGTTCATGTATTTAATGGATTTACTAATAGTAAGATTTTTATAAAATTTATGCCTTGTTTGTCATAACTTAAAAAAGTCAAAAAATTAAAAAGTTACTATCATATTTAATTCATATCATTTTATTTAAATCACATCACCTCTCTATCACATCACTTCAAACACAACCTATATTTCATAAAAAATTAAAAAATACACTTATTTAGATCATCCCAAACCACCCTTAATATGATTTTGTAGTGACATCATGAAAACGAAAATTCTTTGTTTTTGAGAACCAAAAACTTTTGAGCCATACAATCCTAGGACTTTTTTGTCTTGTGGTCCAATGTAAGTCTCCTTTCTTTCAGCGACCACAATTTTGTCATTACCCAGGCCTTAACATATGTAGCTTCTTCTTTCTTTCTTTTTTTTGTCATTACCTCAAACTTAAGAGTTGAGGGATGACAAACCTTTGTCCAACTGCATAGATTCCTTTTTTTTTCTTTTTTCTTTTTTCTTTTTTTAAATCAAAACCAAAACCAAAAAAATAAATAAACAAATAAATAAAAATAAAACCCATGAAGTTGGATGGCAGCAAAGCGTATACAATGAGCCTGCATTTTAACAATGCTTGCTTGATAGATGTTTGCTGGTGTGTTTGTGTAACTTTATTTACAGTAAGGTTTTTATGGGATATTATCAAAATTGGTTGGCTTTGTTTGTTTGGCACCGCAGGATGGAAGAGATTAAGAGTATAGTAAAATTAAATGAGGAGATTATTAGTGTAGAGTGTGGTGATATTAGGTTAGACATGTAAGATAAAGAGTGCTTGTTGTATACTACCAAATTAGTCAATGGCGGAGCCAGGAAATTAAATTACAGGGGGCACTTACGAATTACAATATTGAAAATTTTAAAAAAAATATTTCAAGCAAGTTTTTACGATTGATTTCGAGAAATATAAAAAAAATAATGTTATTTATAATTAGTGTATCATGGATAATATAAAAATATATATGGATATAAACCTTAAAATAAATTACATAATGATAAATTATTTTTTTATACAAAATTTGATTAAAAATTCAATATAATGATGACCAAAAAAATTAAAAAAATTGTGTAGAAAATGGTTTTTTATTGTTTACTTTTTATTTTTGCATAATCACATAATTTTGTGAAACTCTATAATCACTGGTGGGCATGAATTGAATTTCTGCAAATGGGCCTTTCATAATGGATCATACGGCTAGGTCCGCTTCTTTCTAACTGTAATTCTTGGGCCCATTATTAACGAAAAATGGGCTTCAATTTTAGGATCATTCTCTAAGCCCACGTCTATTAGTATTATGGTCTCGTTTGTTTGGTTCTATAGGATGGAAGAAATTAGCAGTATAGTGAGATTAAGTGAGGAGATTATTAATGTTATGGTATTAGATTGGAGATATAGGATAATGAGTGCTTATTTTTATACCATCGGATTAGTAATATTATAGATAGTATTAATATATAAAATTAATATTTTTAGTATTTTTTAATATTATAATTATTTTAATTTTTAAACTTTTTAAGTCCACTTAATCTAGAGACACTTACAAAAATATAAATTTTGCATAAAAATTATTTAAAAATTCACTAAATAAAAAAACCATATTTTTATAGTATTTATTAAAAAATTTAAATATTTCTTTCACAAATAAATTATTTGAAAAACAAATTATATTAAAAATATTTTAATACATTAATTCCATTACTAAATTTATGATCGCATGTGTTTTCCTTCCATCTTAGTCCAACCAAGAAGGGGGGAATGCTAGTCTCCTTGGAATGTTAATCTCATCACAATCTTCTACAACCAAACACTCTCTACGTGACCGTTCCTCACTATTAGTCCAATTCACTCACTCAAAGAGCCGAAGAAACATGGCTGTTAGGACATCAAAGGAGTAAGCTACAGATGCTAGAGACATTTTTGGCTTAGATTTGCTTCTAATGTGAATCTCAGGCTCACAAATACTTAAGATAAGATGCATTTACAGTGAATTGGTGTTTGTCCAATGGGACTGCGAAACAACTCCAATTATTATTTTTTATTTTATTTATTTACTTTTTTGTTTTTTTGTGCTTGTGTGTGATGTAAACCTCTGTCATTTTCTTTCTTTGAATAATCACAGTTTTATCATTACCAGGACATGAAAACATGGTAAATCTAAGTTGTTGATGTTTTGCAAATGATATGGATAGGTTGCTATCTATGAAGTACGGGTACGGGTACAAGCTCCGGTATTGGTATGATACGGATACGTCGATATGGTAAAATTTAAAAAAAAAATAGGGTACAGGTACGATTTCGTACCCTTGTCAAAAAAAAATAATAATATAATGAGAAAATTAATTAAATAGTTTAATTTCTGAAGGTCCAACCTACAATTAACATTTAATGGCAAAAGTAAAGGTACAAATCAATATTAAATATTAATATGTTAAATAATTTACAAACCATAGTTTAATTTAAAATCATGCTAAGCATAAAACAAAAAATAAAAAAGAAAGTATAATGAAAAGAGTTTTTATCACTGTAGTATAAGAAAATATTATTTCAACTAAGGTATGGTATGACTTTGATATATATTAGGTACGTATGGGTAAGCCAAAAATTAAAAAGAAAAAATTTGAGTACGTGTTTTATATACCCGATTACGTATGCAGAAATACCATATGACGTACCATATGCCGGTAAGTACCCGATACGGGTACGGTATATTTTTTAAAGTACCCATGCTTCATAGGTTGCTATTATTTCCTTTCTTTTAACAAAAAAAGCTTTTGGCATTTACCCTTTTTCTTGCTTTCAACAAACACAATTTTGTCATTACCCAGGCCTTAACCTATGTAGTTGGATGGCACCAAAGTGTATAGAATGAGCTAGAATTTTAACAATGCTTGCTTGATAGATGTTTGCCGGTGTGTTTGTAATTTTATTTTATTATCAAAACTGGTCACTGCAGGAAATTTAGCTTTTAGCGGCGTTTAAAAAGCGCCGCTATAAATTTCAAAAACGCCGCTAATTCTTTTTGCGACGCTTAGCACCAAGCGTCGAGGACGCGGCCGTCGCTATAACTCTATGACGTTTTAAAAACGTCGTTATTAAATTATAGGCGGCGTTTTTAAAAACGCCGCCAAATGTCTTACTTGATAACATCATGACGTCATTATGACATTTAGCGACATTTTTTAAACGCCGTCATATCTTTTTTAAAAATCACCGTTAATATTTAAGGTTTAAGTGGCGTTTTTTAAAAAACGTCGTGATATCTCTTTTTTTTTTTTTAAATTGTGCTAATTTATGTGATTAAACTAAAAAAATACATAATACATATAAACGGAGATTGATAGCAAATGCATTCACATAAATTCACTTTCCAATTCACCAATCACCATTACCCATAAAATAACATATCCACAAATATTACATAACAGTAGGGTGTGAAAATACACCATTAATAATTTAAGAATACTTGGTTACATAATTGCTATCATTTGATCAATCTTCTCTTCATCTGTTAGATTATATCTGTTTTCTTCACCCCCATTCATTAGGAGACCAAGCATGTCATGTTTGGTTTCTTGGCAAGCTCTTCTGAACAAGAAACAATGTGCAACACATGTACCTTAAAAACAGTTCAACATTGTGAAAAAAGAAAAAGAAAATGACTAAATCAAACACCTCTTTGGTTTTTTGTTGATTGTCAACGAGTGTGTTGTCCCAATTGCTGAGGTGGCACCTCATGAAGTCATCAAATTTGGGCAAGAGTTGGGACCTGATGATGGGGGGGGCACAGGAGAGAAAGCAAAGCAGCTCTGATGTGCCTGTGGGTGGAGCCATGAACAGCAACAAATATATATATGTGGAGCTGAGGTTTGATTATGATAAAATAAAAATAAAAAAGCGACACGACAAACAGAGATAGCTGCCCCATCGCTTACATATTCATAGAAATTAAAGCAACAGGTCACAAATATATATAACAAAAATATCTTTATTCAAATTTAATTTAACTTAGATATGTGGTCGAGTAATTAATGCCAACTACATCCACTATACATCAACAACTACAAAGATGTTTAGTCATATATATGTCAAAATGATTTGATAAAAATCTCGAGACATAAATTTTATATGGCTAAAAATGCATGTGGTAGAACGATTTGGGCATGGAGAATCTTGTGTTCTAAAAAATCATGGGTTCTGTTAACAAATGTTCTAAGGAAAAAATAAATAAAAACAAAAAAAATAAACAAGCAAACAATTTAAAACGCAATATCCTTTTTACTAATAATTTCATAACACTTTTCACTCCTTTAAAATATTTCAGAACTTTTTTACCATTTTAAAAACACTTTTTACAATAATCTCAATAATAAACAAGGTATAGAAAGCACTTGTTAATAAACAATGTATAGAAAGCACTTGTTAACCTTCACCCAAAATCAATGTTTCGATATTTACTCCAACCGGTGAGATATGAAAAATTCTAAGTAAACTACACTGTTTGGGAAGGGTTGATTTTAGCTCCTAAGTCAAAAAGTAACCATCTATATAAAATAATGATTCCCTTTTTTTTTTTCCTTATGTTTTTTTATAAAAAAATTAAAAATTCATTCAAAACATAACATACTAATTTTTTTTTAATATTATATTTTAATCAAAAAAATATTAAAAAAAGGTGAAACAGGAATAAATCAAAAAAAGGGGAAATATTAAAAAATATGCAACGGCTTAGATTTGAATTCCAATCTCTTATGGAGCTTGAGCAACATCATTGTTATTACGGAGAGCAGGGTTAGATAATCATGAACTACCCAACTAAGAAACTTACTTCCAAGGAGACAACTGGTGAGTATCCAATATGTTTTTGAGCTGCAGAGCAGTTAAACGTACTTGTGCGCAATGCTAATCGAACAACACCATGCAATGGTGCAGAACTGTTAAGCTTTGTGGAGGCCATGTTTTGCATGCACCCATTTAACAAGCAAAACAGTATACCAGACCAATGTAGCTGGAAGTTTTATCATGGGTCTGTAAGCAGAAGAGGGGAAATCAAGTTCAGGGAGCAATATGAGAAAACAATCATAATCATTCAAAAAGAAAAATGAGGTCAATATGGATTTGCCATTGCTTCAGTAAATATTCTAGCATGATGGCATTTTTCAAAAAGGAAATGGCTAGTCAGAAGGGCAACAGTAGACAAATATAAAAATGTTACTTATGTGTTACAAGCAATTAGGCACAATCTTTAAAAGCTATAGAAAGTACAACAGTGATACATCATTATATAAAGGTACATACACACGTATAGACAGACATGTATATAAATAACTGCACAATGCATAAAGAAAGAAAGAAAGATAAGGAAACAAAGACTGTAAAAGATATAGTAAACAGAGAAGAGAGTTATTTCAGCAACAAAACTAATTGGCATACACAAGGACAATAATACAAGTATAACCTCTACTCAACTGATTAAATATATGTTGTGATTTCAAGAAATTGGTGTGTTACTTGCAAGTAAGGAAACTATTGACCAAGTTAGTCCCTGGTTGTTGCAGGTAAGGAATCTTGTGTTGATTCAATCTCTGTAGAAAACAATAACACAACTGCTATTTTTTTCAAGGCATAGAAGTGTAATTAAGGTACAGAGATTCAAGAATTGCTCATATGAAAATTTGATTTTATAATTATTATATTGTATTCAATTTTTCAATAAAAGCACACATCATGTCAAATATCAACAATCTAAGCAATTTAATCAAGCACATGTGGCCTCATTTTTGGGTGCTTTCTTTTGAGAGGAGATAAGGACATGGCGCATGTGGAATGTTTCATTGCCTAGGTGGACCAATTTAAAGGAGAGCTCGTGACAAAGACCATGAGGGTGACCTCATTATCCACTTTCCATTTCCGTTTTGGTTTCAATAACTGGCATCTTCTACAGCCGCTAGAGAGATGGAGAAAAGTAGCCAATGATTCAGTTTGTCACGTGCTGCAATAGTTAAGTGTTATTACTGATAATGGTACATCGAGATGGCCATCTGCAAATGCAATTCAGCTTACGGAAATGAGGAATTAAGTGCTATTCACATTTCAGCTAAATTTTCTACAAACGATAGGCTTAAGTGGGCTGCATCCTTTTAAAGGTAAGATCACTGTTGCTTCAGCTTTGAAACTTGTGATCATCTTGAGTTAGCTGGGCTCAATTGTTATGGCATTCCAAGGCAATTTCAAGGGCCGGTTTTATTCTCTACAGGACTACAGGGTTTGAAATGTGAAAACTATTTCCCTAGTCAACCAATTAAGTCTCAATTTTTTTTTTGTATAATAACAAAGTACACTGCACTTGAAAACCAAATTATAACCAAAACAGATCAACCTCCTTTGGATTTCATTCCTTTGTTTTTCTCAGCAAACAAACAGAGATGATTGTGCGACCAATGCCAAAAGTGATGGAATCTAAATTATCTGTAAATTGAAATCTGTAAATAATGCTTCAAATTTGTGGCTGATCTGATGAAACCAATACAGAGAGAAACACACAAAGAGGCAGAGAGAGAGAGAATTAATAATTTCAAGATTAACTGTTGTTAGGATGCTAAAAGCCTTCCTATTATTTTATTCAGTCAATATAATTTCCAACTTGATCAAATTACATCATTATGTGAAAATGATAAATATTCAATTCTCTGCAACAAGCATGGAAAAAATACCAAAATCTGCAATATTTATTGATATGAAATTCTCAAAAGCAACCATTCAAGAAAATAAAAGACATCAACAAATATCAAAAACGCAATAAAAGTCAGGAAACAAAATACATACCTGAATAAATAGCCGATGGAGGCATGTGAGCATCACTGAAACTTGGGGATTCAGGCCAAATTCATGCTTTAAGCAGTGCTTAAAATTAATTGCAATTTCAGAGTGTGAGAGAGATATGTTGCAATTCAATATGTTTCACAACAATTTGAGAGTTGTGTGTGTGAAAAAGAACTCTACTACAATCTTAACAGTGGCAAGAGAGACCGGCACGCCTTTGTTAGCAAAAACAGTGACAAAGAGAGGATTAAAAAGAAAAGTGGACTAGAATGATGAGTGTTTTTTGATTAAACAAAATGAACCTATAATTTCTAAAATCATAATGAAGAGTGAGGAAGGGCATTGTTAGCTCACATACTTGTGACTTCAAACAAACAGGGCATCAAAGAAAATGATAGATCCAAAACCATGCATGGTGGATTTAGATTATCTAAGGCAATGGCAAATCATTGGTATGCTTATATTAATGCTTCTCCTACGTAAAACATTTTCGGAAAGTGTAAAAAAAAGAATAAAGAACAGGAAATAAACTCGGCCGAAGTTCTGGGTTTTCTCCGCAGCATGCTTTTGATGAGGGCCTGACTGGAAAACAAAAATAGAGCAAGGATTAGATTAAGACACTAATTAAAGGCCACAATATACAAATAAGAACACAATTCCTCACGAGGAAAAATCTAAATTTTCATAGGCATCAAAAATATGCCAAGTTGCAACTTGCATTCATGATTGCATTATAACTTATATATGTATTTATGTGACATTTGTGTATACACTTACCCAAGGACCAAATGTCTGACTTAGAGCCATAAGGTATGTCAGCAAGAAGCTCAGGGCACATATAACTTGGAGTTCCTACAACCTGAGTTACGAAAAAGAAATCTTGAACAATAAAACTAATGCAAATGTTGAAACTTGAAAAATGAACCAGTTAACCACAAGACTTACAGAGGATGCAAGATCATCTGATGGCAACATCTTAGCAAGTCCAAAATCACCTGCAACAGGATTAATCAATGGTGATTCAGCAAAATACTGACACCTCTCAAGAATATTAAGCAAAGAAAACATATCACTTACCAAGACGTATGTCTTGATCTTTTGCCAAGAATATATTTGAACACCGCAAGAACAAGACTGTCAGTAACATGCAATTTCAGAAGGATAATTCATAAATCCTCTAGTATACAGATAGATGCAACTTACCTTAACATCTCGATGAAGAATATGATTCACATGTAAGTAGTCAAGAGCCATAAGCAATTGAACAAGCTATTTACACAGCTTCTATAAACAATTTAACATCAATGTATCAGTGAACAAAGAAATTGTGAGCTGATACAAACTGAAAACTGCAGAGGTGGGAGGTAGAATGCAGTACAATCTAGATTGCGACAACAGAAAAGAAAACGAAACAATATAAATGTGATGCTAAGATACTAGAAATATAAAACAACCTCATCGGAAAAAAGAACACCATTTGCTTTCTTTATAGCTTCTGCCCTGTAAAAGACAAAGTAGCAAAAAAGATGACATCATAGATTGCATGTAAAGTTTCAGCCCAAGTAAATGGATTAAGCCAAGTATTGCAGTTTTAGCCAGAAAAGTCACTCACATGCCTCAGAAGCTCCTGGTGCCTGCAAGCAGCAGTTAAATCATCAAACAGTACAACTTAGATGGCATTGACATCGACTATGAACACTTCAACAACACCGATCCAAACACCTTTGCAGAGTGCATTGGACAGCTTATAACCAAAATGAAAGAAAATGGACTCATCTCTTTTGCTTCTATAGCTCCATTTGATGATGATCAAGTTCAGAGTCATTACTTGGCCTTGTGGAAGAGCTATGGCAATCTCATTGACTGTCAATTTCCAATTTTATGCTTATGATCAGAGTACCAATGTTTCTCAGTTTATGGCCTATTTTCAGACTCAGAGCTCTAATTACAATGGAGGGAAGGTCTTGGTGAGCTTCATCAGTGATGGAAGCGGTGGGTTGTCACCGGAAAATGGTTTTTTTTCCGCTTGCAGTAGGCTCAAGAATCAGCAAGAACTTCATGGGATTTTTGTTTGGTGTGCTGATGAGTCCAAGGCAAAAGGATTAGGATTTAGCTATGAGAAGCAATCACAGGCATTGTTAGCCAATTAGTATGTATTTACTACCATTGAAATGCGTTGTGTGGCCTAGTTAGTTCCAAATATGTGAAAAATGGTCTGGCGTTGTATGGTTTCGATGCAAGTGATGATGTTCTGTAATTTCTCT